CAAAGTAAACAACAAAATACCYCATGACTGTAATTACTAGGACAGAAGATCCAACCTTGCTTTGAGATCCTGCTCTAATTAACTTAGGTCTCTTAGCTTGTTTGCTAGGTTACGTTGAGGAGATCTCAGATGGTTGGAGAGAAATTCAGCACCTTACAATTTAAACTTCAAGAATTGTCCAGAGCCAGTGAGTTTAGCTCCATTAATTAAAATTAAAGGCAAGAGGAGAAATAATCCTCGAATACAGGAAGCAAAGCCATAAAGAACAGAGTAGCAAATGTTCATTTTATATAAAGTAGGATTTTTTTTTTTTTTTTAATCTTTTCAAGGTAGATGACTGCCCCTATTCAGCTATGAGCTTGGGCTGCCTTAAAATTGGCATATGTGGAAGATGTGGATTGTTGCATAGAAAAAATAAATGAGCTTACTTTTCTTAAAAGGTCTTTCATAGACTTCTTCAAAGAATTTCACAAACATCCATAAATCAACAGACAACAGAACGAAAACCACTGTATTTCACCTTCACAAAGCTCTGAAATGGTCTGTCCACATTTCCATTCATCTAAGCAAATCTGTTTTGAGTCAGTCAGTGCAAGGATCAAATGCATTTTTCAGCTGAAAGGGATCACACCCAGTTCTCACAGACAGACATTTTAAAACATTCCTCTGTAGCTTTTCCAGTATACAACCTGTTAAACCATAAATTCTAGAGTTTTCTTTTTAAAATCTCCCAGTATTTCTAGGAAACAACCATTTGGGCTACATTAAATAATCAATATAAGAGTTGCTGGCAAGGCATCAAGAAATCAATAGCTTCACATATTTCTAACGGAGCATTTACCTCATGAAAGGTTACATCCCGAGACAGAAGCTCTCTGCTCTAATTAGGAAGCCTRGTCTAGGAAGAATCCTCTTATATGGATATCTCAACGTGGGCCTGTCTCACATTCCCTTACGCCAGCATCAGCAAGAGCTAACAACTCTTCACCAGCTTCAGAAGAGAGTTTGGAAATCCTCTTCCTCTCTTCCCTCCCAGGCCTCACCGAAGCCACTGAAGCGCTTCACTCTTGGCCTCTGTGGTAGCTCGCTTGCCCCCAGCATGTGCCAGACTTCAAAATTAACACAAGGCCATCCTTTAGTTTGGCTTATCCCTCTGTTTGTTTCATATTTCATTCAGCAGTTTCTTTGTGCCTGTTTTATCCCCAGACATACTGAGGCAAAGTGGCACCGACCCAGGACAGGCCTTCTCAGCCCTCTCCTCACCCCAGGGCGGGAGGTGAGCTCCCTCTCACCTCACACACACACGCAGCSTGGCTTATGTATTTGTGCAATCTTCTCTTTCACAGCTGGGGCACCTTCATGCTATGATAATAAACAATATACGGACGCTAAAGAGAAACAGCTGGGTGTGTACTGCACTTGAATAATAGAGCTAGGGCTTATTTGGCTTGATTTATTTGCTAAATGAACAAGTACCCGGAGATCACAAGGGCGTGATTGCCACAGCACTGCAGTGCCCTTGGGAAAGCTGGAGCACTCCCTACAAGCTGGATGGGAAGGCTGCCTGCCCGGGCACAGAGCAGCTCTCACTGCGCTGACCCTCGTGGCCAAGTGGGACCAGGACAGAGCAGCAGTGACCCACTTGTCCAACACACACATAGCTCTATTTAAYGTGTTCCTGGCAGGCTTGCTGGGGTTTGGGGGTTTATTTTTTGCTGCTGAAGTATAGATCAGTGGCAAGCTCCAAGAAGCTGCTATGCATATGGTTATTCTAAGGTTGGAAAAAAAAAAAGAAAGAAATTAGTAGCAGTTGATCCTATGGACACTCTTGTCTTAAAAAATGAGTTCATGGAACACATTAAATACCCTATATCTTACGCCATTTTTATGTCTTAAGCCTTTTTTTACGGCTCAAAATCCTTCCAAGAAAGACACTGGGAAAAATGTAGTCCAAGTGGTCCATATATGACTGAACTAAAAATACTATTTTCTTGCACACCAGAACTAAGCAGCCGTGTGATATTCAGCAATCACAACGAGTCTTTAGTCAGATGCTGCTCCATGTAATGAGCACACATTGCTGTCTGAAATCAGAGGTACAACAGCCAGTCAGGAGTTACACTCAATTATGCAGCTTAATGCAAGCTCGCCTGGGCAAAGAGCGTTGCCTTGGCTGACAATATCGCTCAGGCTSCCTCTTCATCAATAAAATTAGCAAACAAAGTCTGCACAATCCCCTTCCTCTTGGATTTGCCCCCCCTTTCAGACATCAAGCCTTGCTCTGATTCTAGTCCTTCACATCTTGTAGTTTCCTGAGAAGAAAAACAACAGTGTATTTGTGTTGAGATTGTGCAACTAAGACATACCTCAAAGCAGTCTGCTGATCTTGAGGGACTTATTAAATAAACAAACATCTTTTTAAAATAATGCAACATAAAACAGTCTCTTTATAATTGCCATAGTTTTGTTAAGTTTTATCTGTTTTAACCTCGTCCACCTTTTCTCTCCATTTTAGCTTATTACCTAGAATAGTTCCTCTTTCTTCCCTGTTATGCCATTTCGCTCAGCTCACATTTTCCTTGGACACAAACAGATGTTAAGCACCTTATAAAAGAAAAATTACATTAAAATACCCTTGGGAAATGAAGTGTATGCAAGTGGGAGGTAAATAAAACTTAGTCTACTTTTTCCTGTTTATTATATTGATTTCAGTAAATTTTGTTATGGAGAAATTCTCCACACATGTTGGAATATCTTCTCAAATCCAGGCTGTAAAATAGGCAATGTATTGAATTAATTGTTTCCCTTAAAAAGACTTAAGAATGCTGAAATTGCTGCCCCTTCGTTAAGAGGCTGGGCAGCAGGACTGTGCCCTTCTGGAAAGCACAGTGAGAAGCCACAAACACCCAGGCAGTGCCCAAGCMAAACTAAACCTGCAGCCTGACTCTTGGGGCATCCCATGAAGCAAACCAGTCACCAGGGCAGAAGACACGGCCCCAGAGAATCTTCACACATGGAAAAGGCAAAATTGCTGCCACCTAATTTGGGTTAAAGACCAACTTATTTTTTTTGAAAATGCAACCTACTGCTCTGAAGCCCAAAATACAAAGACTGAAATAGCCTAAGACATGAGGAAGTTGTTATCCCTGCCCTCTATCCAGTCTATGTTCATATCAAAATTCTGCCAATTTTCTGCCATCCTGCCAATTAAACATTTTTCACTTGGTGTTCACTGTATCTTCATAAACATGTACCACCAACTCTCTGCTTTCTCTCCTCTGAGTTCTTGATAAGGTCACAAGTACATCTACTGAGACCAAATATTTCTAAACATAGAAATAATTGCCTGAGGAATTAAGTGCACTTGCTTAGTTATCTAGTTCACACTAAATTTAATTTAGTTGATTTTCTTCATCTAATGTATCTGTTATTAGGGGCAATGTATGCTGCCAACTGCAGCATTTACTTATTAAAGATGGAAATTAATTATTTAATTTCCTAGCATGGAGGAGTTCCTCTGTGAGGACATTCACAACCATCAGATATAGATAATCAGTAAACTATCACGAGGAAGAACCAGGTCCTGCGGACAGCCATGTTCTTTCTAAAGTGGGAACAGAAAGATAGTGTCTTCTAGCAATAGCAGTTCTCATTCATTAACTGTTTCAGATGCATGGTGTGTGTGCAAAGCAAAGCCTGAACACGTCTGGTCTCAGGCAGTGTGTGAAGCTGTCATCAATATGTGAAGACAGAGGAAATAAAAAGAATTTAAGGAAATCAGTGAAGTCGAGATTGAGCAGAACATGATGTCTTTGAGGCCTCTGTACACTAGAATACAATTGAGGRAGGAAACACTAGTACTGGAAGAGGATCAAGTTAGGGTTCTCTTAAGAAATCTCAATGCCCGCAGGTCCAGATGGGCTACATCCAAGGTTCTGTCACCTCTGAAAGGTTGTGGAGATTGGGAGAAGTCCCCAGTGACTGAAGAAAGGCACCTGTGACACACCATCTTCAAAAAGGCCAAGGAGAATGAGTCAGAAAACTACAGGCTGGTCAGCCTCACTGCTGTCCCTAGAAAAATCATGGAGTAAGTCCTCCCCGAAGCCATTTTTGAGCACAGGAAGGTGAAGAAGGTGACCAAGAACCATCAGCCTGGATTTACCAAGGGTAAAGCACACCTGATCAACCTGAGCCACCTGTGACTGAGGGAAAGGCAATGCATGTGTTCCACCTTGGCTTCATTAAAGCTTCCAACACTCTTCTTACAGCATCCTGGTCACCTGTTATAGTCTAGGTAGGTTGACTACTAGCTAGTTCAAACAGCAGCTGAAGCATCAGACTCAATGGGCAGTGGCTACCAGCAGGTCAGCCAGTTTCAAGATGGGGTCTATCGTGGGAGCTCTCTCCTTAGCATCTTTTATCACTGGCCTGAAGGAGGGAACTTCACTACCGTCTGCTTTGAGCAGATTGCACTGAAGACTTCTTGAAGTTCCTTCCGACTGCCAAGGTTCTGCAGTTCTCCCCACTTCAGCCAGAGGCTGAAATTGGAATTCCTAGAATGCAAACTAAGACTTTTTTTTCCCCCTTCTCCCTTCTCAACTTGTTTAAAAGAAAATATTTTTACCAGATTCCACTGCAAAGACTATTTTTCTACTTATCTTAGCCCTCCAGGCACGTTTCTCAACAAAAGGAAGTTTTATCAACATGATAAGATCAACAGTATCTCCTCTACAGAGGACTTAGTGTGAAACTGAATAGGTAGTTCTGGCCAGGGTTTATATACAGAATTAAATGGAATAGGCTTATCAGTAAATACTATCTACTATGTTTTGTTCTAGCATATTCAAAGTTATTCTTAGTTTACATTGGTATAAACAGCAGTCATCCTACTGGCTCATGAGGTTTCTTCACGTTCTTGGGAAAGTAGCTTACAGACCTGAAACAGACAGTTATTTTCAGATGTGCTCTGAACAGCCATTATTGGAAAAAAAAATACTTACTTATTCCTTGAAAGAGTTCCTCAATGTTAACAGCATTCTTAGCACTGGTTTCAACAACAATTGCACCTATAGATTCTGCATATTCTTTGGCATCCTTCATAGGAACCTCCCTAAAGAAAATATTAACAAAAAAAAAAAAAGAAAATAAAGCACTGTTTTTCAAAAAAAACCTTAATTTTGAAAGAAATAAATTAGTTTCTTAGTTGCAATTTCTCACACCTTAATCTCAGATTGAGTAAAACACACTGACAAAAAAAGCAATTCCCGTTTCCATATGTTTCCACAAGTGGGTGAACTCACTGTAGTGAGGTAGCAGTCCTGACATTCCTAGTACAACTTCTTCCTAGTACAACTGTCTTAGAATTTAGGATAAGGTACTTTGATGACAGTACAAACTGCAATTTCACAGTTAGTTTATAGAGGCAGATATTTTAAATAAAGGTCTGCTGCTCATAGGAAAAGAAAATGTAGAGAGGCAGAATAATTGCCTCTCATTTATTACAAATGATTTCCAAAAATGAGCCTGCAACTGCAGTTTCTAGATTTAGATCTTATTTCCTGTAATTGTTTCTTCCTATTAAATATCTTTCTATTGCAAAAGACACAGGGAGGGCAGAATTCCCCTTACTAATTCTGAAACGGCACCTGGCCTTTAGTGTGAAAGGTGCCACCATCTGCTGATGACYGTGCAAATTAAAAGAACAAACTACATAATATTCAAACCACAGCAGTGAAAGAAATTTGGGAAACACTGGGCCTCCGTAACGAGGACTTTCATCTTGCTCTGATTTAGAGGAGAAAACAAACTTCGGAATTCTGGGCAAAGATAAAACAGCAGCAAAGGGCTCTGCTCTTAGGAAGCTTGAAACTCCCTAGCCCTTTTCTGCCAGTATTTCTATGGAGGCCTGTAAGCTGCCACGGCAAGTGGGCAATAAGCACGACAGGCAGTGCTGCCAGGGCCGAAGGCCCCACACATCAAAGGCAGTTATCGTAACCTGGATGTCAACATTGCTGAGCTTCTCCTCTGCAYGAAAGAAAAAGCACAAAAGCCCAAGTTCTAAGCCAAGAAATGAATAAACACAAAGCAGGGTGAAGCAGCACGGAGGCAAGAACCTTCACTGGGGTGTTAGGATGGTACCGATCCAGGGCAACAGGGTAAGTCAGAAAAGTTTTTATGAAGGAAAAACACTTCTCTGTTTTCGTCATGATTGATTGACTTCTGTAGTGCTCAAAAAATACTTGGAATTCTTGCAGCCTTTTAATATTCAAGTCTCAGCTCCTTTCTCGGAGCATATTTTTCAGCGACTTGTCAGAGGAAGAGACTGTTATTTAAAAATATGCCAAGCACTCAACAACACTAGAGTTAATACCAAAGATGAAGATTCATATTCATCAAAATTTCTGTCCACCAGTAGAAATTCCTTCAAAGTCAGGGAAGAAATTTATTTCGATAGAGTGCCAAGACCTGCTGATAGCCTATTAACAACACTGAGAAAAGCAGCATGAATCCCCAGCCTCCCAAATCTATCTTGGCAGCTCAATCGCAAATTTTAGGTGCTAAATGAGATGGGTAACACAAGCAATAATTGTAATAAACAGCGYCAGCCTCTTCCCACAGGAAAATAAGTTCTTTTTGCTTCCACTCWTTCCTCCTTGCATTATCTCCAGTAGTGAGAGAGATGGCTGCATCAAATCAACTGGGACTTGTGCTCTTTGCTTTTATTCATGTTGGTCTTAAAAGTAGTTGTCTCTCTAGTAGCCAGCAAAACATCATTCAAATGGTCTATAAACCCAAATGAGATGCCAAAAAAGCATTCAAACAGTAGCTTGCACTTGTGTGTGCCCACATCACCTTATTTTTACTTGCTGTGAGCCCAAAAACCTAAGTATTTCCTACACTGGAGAAAAACGTGATCAGCTGGTGAAACATTTCACCTAAAATGATTTTAGCGAAGTGAATTTTAAGACACAAGGCAGTCAGARAACACTACTGCTGTGTGGACTGCATAGAGTTCCAGAAGAAACGAGCAAACAAATCACACATAATATAGTTTGCTCTATACAGTTAACACCAGACACAGCTTGAAGGAAACCTTCTGGTGAAAGGGTCTCCTCGGGAGGAAGTGCTGGGCAGCGCTTTGCAGGGCACCTTGTTCTCACGTTCCCTTGGAAGCCTGGCTGGGGCAGAGCAGCATTTCAGAGCTTGCTGCCCGRGCACTATGGTCTTTTAACGCACGCGGTGGATTCATTCGCACTGACTGCCATTTGTGGCAACCTCCATACTTACCATCCTGGATTTAATCAAGCAAATACATCTATGAGAACATTTAAGCAATGACTTTTAAGTGAGCCTTGGGGCAACCAAAAGTTCTAATTTGTGCTTTTTTTTTTTTTTTTTTAAAGATTTTTATAATTCTCTCTTCTTATTTCACATCTAAAAACTTTTAGTCTCATATTACATGACCAGCTTTCACAGTGTTGACAAGCTGTTCATACCATCCCGTAGGAGATGGCATTAGGCTGTCTCCCACTTTTAGGCCAAGAGAAACCAAAGTTCTTGTAGAGTCAGGGCTTGTTCAGGTCTTACAGAAAGCAGTAAAATTTTTTTGTTGTTGTTGTTTGTGTTGATTGATAAGTGACAGGTTGGGGAAAGGGGAATCCAACACAGGCCTATCCATATGGTCTTGATTCAAAAAAGCACCATATCAAATACTTGAARATACCCCCATGCCTCAGGGCTGTGGTGAACCTAGGTCAAAATAAAGGTTATAAAATGGTAGGGGAATATATTTGAACCATAACAAGAGTCTGCRAGGTCCTAAGTACCAAATGTGGCCACTACACTCAGGGAGGGAACAAGAAACAAAAGGAAGTTGTGGCCTGCCACAAAGGGCTCCTCCAGTACAGCGGAGCRGGCTTCCGTTTCCAGAGAGGACAAACACAAATCCCAAACAGAGCTAACAAGTAGAAGAGCAAATCTGCTTCAAACACATCACAGAGAGCATCACCTTGGTCTGTTTGCAGGAGGATTGAATCTAGCTCTCCCATTATTTACTCAGCAAGTTCTTTGCTTTACACGTGGGACTCAAGCCAAAGATTGCTGCACCTTTTAACACGAATGAAGAAAAAAAGGGGGGTGGGGAAGAAGCATTTTCCATTTTTCAGCACCTGAAGGGTAGAGACAGCACAAATACAGTGCAGGGCTGCTGGTGAGGAATAACTGTACGTCTCTGAGAGCAAACACATTGACACGATGACTGCCCTTAGAAAAGGCTCAGTACAGAAGACCAAAACATTACTGTGGGAACAATAAAGAAAACTTACCTGTAAATACAAGCAACAATTAAAGTAATGACAGCAGATGATGTATTACCTGATATCTGAAAGATCACATTTGTTTCCAGCAATGGCCATTACAATATTTTCAGGACCATGTTCTTTTAGCTCTTTCACCCATTTCTTCAAAGTATGAAAGGAATCCTAAATGAGAAAAAGTAAATTAAAAAAAAAAAAAAAAAGAAAGGCTAATAGCTTCATTTCCTTCTTTTTTTTTTCCCCTCCCCCTTCCCTTAAAGTTAGAAGAACCCAGCTTTGATGGTCTTAATGCAATGATAATCTCATAGATCACAAGACCAAAAGAGGATCATGGCAGCTATATAATCTGTTTCTCAAACTTCAAGTCATGAGATTTCCTCAAATTAATTCCTGCTTGAACCTAAAAATTTCTTAATAAATAAATGCTGACTTGTAAATTTTCTCTTCTGAAGAAACCACTCAGTTCATTCATGGTTGKCTAGTAGCTAGTTTCTTTCACTGTTAATGTGAGCTTCACTTGTCTGCTTTTAATTTCCAGGCAGTGGATTATCATCTCTGCCCCTGTCACCCTGTCAGCAGCATCCACGGGGCTGTGACCTCCACCAGCATTTCCAGCTGTGGCCTGGTAAATCTCAATTTATTCTAACCAAAGAGCTAGGTGACAGTTTACAGTACACAGCTCAGTCCTTATAATGCTTTACAAGATTAACTATCAGGCTAGCAACTATTTAAATTAAAAAGAAAAAAACCTATCAGATGCTTCTGTCTTCCTCCTGCTTTCTTGGCAGTTGCAAGAGCACCAGGGCGCAGCAGCGGTCACCATCATCAGCAACAGGTCCTTCCACTTACACCCCACAGACCYAACTCTGCCCTCTCTGCCTACTAATAAATAATTTAATTTGCAGGAAAGCATAAAAAAATATACGTGAACCATCTCGATCATCCCTCTGTCAATGCCTCCTCTAACTCAACTTAATCAGTGGGAAATTCTTTTGAAAGCAGTGAAAACTGAGTACAGTTAGAGCTTCCCAGCCTCCTCTGTCTGAAAAATGAGCAAAAAACTGTTTATGAGCTGAAAATACAACTTTAATTCCAGACTAATATTGTTGAGAAAAGGTCAGAGACTTATTACTTCAGTACTGCTTTTCAAAATAAAGCAGCCATGGAAGACCTCAGTTTCTCACTGCAGTCGTAAGACTATACGTGTACTTTAAAATTATTAATTTTAGAAGCAGTAATAGGTGAACAACAGAATTTTTGTGCAGCTAATAAGCGTCTAGCTGCTTTTTGTAGTAAAAATTCAATTTCATTCAGAAAATATTAGCTATTGGAGAAGGGCTATTGCAAAGTATCATGCTGCCTACGTAGTCAGAGGAAGTTCAAAGCAACTTCTCTGAAAAGTAGTCTCTAAGCTTTGTCTGGAGAAATTTTAAATAACATAGTGCTTTATATTAAAATTTTTGAGGCAGCTAGGAACATGCATTCAAATCCACACAAACGACTCATGAACAGGAATTAGCAAATAAGTGCTTCTATAGTTTGAGCTAATGAAGTTTGAGTCAAAATCCACAAAATCCAGGTGGAGCAGGCAGCATATGGAAACAGTGAAAGTCTTACCTGCTTGGTGATATCATAAACTATCACAGCTGCTGCTGAACCTCTGTAGTACATTGGAGCCAGAGAATGAAACTGTTAAAGCAAATCCCCCCCGGGAAGAAAGAACAACATGAACAAATCAGAGCAATAAAYCACATTTTGCCAGGTCACAAAAACATAAGACAAATGGACCACAAACTTTCATCCAAAAGAGAAGAGCCCTCTTTGGTGGCTGCCAATGTCTTATTCTCCTTAAATCCCACAGAAACAGACCTCCCTTATCTCCTGGTGCTCTCCATCCCACTGCAGTTACCTRATTTGCACTTCCTTGTTCAATGCATCTTTTTCGTTACAATGTTTGGACCGTGAACAGAAGTTTTCATGTGAAATTCRCCTGTATTTGGAGCCATACCTGACAATATGAACGTCTGACACAGGTRAAAAGGAAACGTTTGCATTTTAGTTGTATTGCACTGCATTCAGCTTGGGGCTGAGTTTTATAAAAGGCAGCAAATCACTCAGATAAAAGTAACTTCTAAAAAGGCTACTAGCACCTGTCAATTTTAGATATCCTCAGCTATAATATGCATTTTGAAAACCACAGATTCTGGTAAATTAAGTGTCTCTTCATCTTTCCTCCTCCCCAAGGGAAACAACCTTAAAAAAAAAAAAAGCAATCAACACGTTTACTTTAAAAAACAGCTTGCCAACAAGCAGCATAAATCTCATAGTTTGCCATGGCTAAGCAGCTGGTTTAGAATTTGAGCTTATAATCACACACTGACAGGCAATCAATAAGCATTTCTGCTGATTCACCTGCATCTATACTTAAGGCCACCAAACAAAAAGTCTTTCTTGCTAAATACATTTAGTCTCACTGTATTTACAGAGCCATTTTGCACATTTTTGTTTGCACAGAGAGTGATCTGTAAAATCTCCATATAAAGCTGTGGCTACCCGGACTAACCAGGGTCAACCCCTAACTCAAATGTGCTGCTAGGGCCTGATAAAGCTGTGAATGGGCACGGACCCGTGTGCTGCATTCCCACCCCTGCAGATTTACAGCAAGACATAATTTTGCCTCACAACTGTCCTTATAAACTGGCCAGTGAGACTTAGGCAGCACAAGTATCAAGGAAGCTTCCAACAGCAGCTCCAGGATGTGCACGTTCCCCATCATTTGCCCATCATGTTCATTCAGTCCTAACTCTGAAGTTTTTTTTTTTACGGCAAAAGCAAGCAGAAATGCTATTTCCCTTTATTTCACCCCTAATTTTTTTTGGTGTTGTAGTTTGGCACCACGTGCCTGGTTGTGAGGTGCTCCTCAGAGCTCACGCGTTCTGGCTCAAGGTCGGGGAGCGCGGGCGCCCGCTACACCCCAACCAACCCCGACACACAGGCGGCTGCTCCCAGGTGCTGCGGAGAGAGGCAGGTCACAGAGCTCGTTAATAGGAGAAACCAGCAGGAAGGCACATGAGTAAGAAAGGGACATCCATCAGGAGGCTAGGGCTGAGGAAAAGGCTCTCGTGCAAGCTGAGCAGATGTGTGTTTCCTGGAGTGGCTTTAGGACCTGTTAAGTGCAATAAATTCCAGAATTTTCAGCCTCCCAGTCCACTGCCGAAGTTGCCCGTGTGCTACGTTAAAGCACCCTGAATATTAGGGAGCATATTTGTGCAGGGTAGATCTGACTTTTCACTGTGTATACAAACCCCTCCCAGCCTGTAAACTTCTGGAAAAACATGTCACTGCCTTGGCTTTAACCTAGATTACAGGGCATTCACGAGCTGACAAAGAGCTCTCAGATAAACGTAACCACGCTTCCCAGGCAGGCTGGGAAGGCAAACGCACATGCTTTGAATGCCATTCGTGCTGGCCTGGAGAGCTCAGGAAGAACCTGCCCAGCTTCCTGGGAATTTCTCCCTGTTGTTCTTTTGAGTGGATCACAGAATAGTAAAAGTTGGAAGGGACCTCTAGAGATCATCTAGTCCAACTTTCCCACTCAAGCAGGGACACCCAGGGCACGGGGCACAGGGCRGCATCCAGGCGGGTTTGGAAGATCTCCAGAGAAGGAGACTCCACAGCCTCCCTGGGCAGCCTGTGCCAGGGCTCTGGCACCCTCACAGGRAAGAAGTTCTTCCTCACCTGTCACTTCCAGATGACATGAATCCTTTCCATAGCATCTGTTTCGTTGATGAGTATTGCCAATGTTAGTGGCATAGGGGAAAAATATGAACAAAAAACCCCTCTTGTACTGGATGCTGAACAAGGAGTTTTTAAAGGAATTTGAATGTAAACTAACATATTTTTGGTAGGCCTATTTAGATGGATTAGATGGATTCCCAGACTAGCTCACTGTGCGTCAGAGCAGCCCCAGCCTGAGCTAGAAGGATGGAATGAGAAAGTCTGGAGAAAAAGGAGGAAAGATAGGACCAGAAGCAGCTAGATTCACATTCACATCCAAGCCAAACCCCCATAGCTCCACACTTGCAGAATTGCTTTGTGCACATCTTTGCAGATGCACCCGATTTCCACAGTCATTTTTTACCCCTTTTCTCCTGGAATGAAAGCAGTAATCATTTTAATCAGTGCTGGTAAATGCCAAAACAAAGAACTTCTTTTAAAAGATTTCGGGAGATATTTTTAAATGCCATTTTGGTGAGAATTAAGCACTCGAGCAGCATGTTGCTTTCCAGTAACAAACACACYGAATGAAAGCACTGGGCCCGTTCCTCCTGTCAGGAGGCAAGGGGCGAGCAGAGGTGCAGCACACAGGAGGGAAAGCTGCTCTGCCACSTGAACCAGAGTCACCTACTTAAACACTCCAACGCCTTGAGAGCTCGCAAGGAGGGAGGGGAAAACACTGCACAGCAGCCTCAGAAAAGCCARTGCCTCCAAAAGCACCACGGACTCGGTAGTTGTTGGCAGAACTGTGATGTCCCTGTTCTGTTGTACTTTGAAATAGTTCAGTGTAACCTGAAAGTGAGCGAGTAGCAAATACCAACAGAAATCACTGCTGTCCCTGACAAAACAGAGTTCGACGCTCTGCAACGCGGAGTGAATCAGCCAGGATGGAAGAATTGTACTTGAAAATAACTGTCCCCATTAATAACACACTCTTAGCAAATGTGCCTTATGAGTATGCGTTTTCAAAGATCACAAAACTATCAGTAAAAATGTTATGCAAATAATAGAGCAGGGTTTTTTTTCTCTTTTTCTGGCCTAATTACCTAAAGGGAAAAAAGAAAAAGAGAGAGTAATGCAAAATTAATTAAATGGATGCAGGATCCTAATGTGCACATTTTTCACCTGCCAAGGACCAAATGTGGGACAGAAGCCGAAAACAAGCGACACACAAAAAAGCAGTTCCCAAAATTAAATCTCCCGGGATGACCTTCCATAAGCTCCAGTCTCCCTAGCCTCAATTTGCTGGTTCAGTATCTCTGTATCCAATAATTCCCAAGCAAACGGGGAGAATGGGAGCAGTTGAAGACTCGGGAAAGCGCCCGAGGCCCCTCGCGCCTTTCTCCCCACTGCTCCTCTGTGGCAGCTTCCCAGCCTCCTTCCCAGCCCGCAGGGGCTCCCGGCCAGGCTCCCGGCGGTTGCCCGCGGCTGCAGTCTTGCCTTTGCCAGGCTCTCTCCCTTTCCAGCTGAGCTGACCAGAGGGCACCTTTCTCGGCATCTGGTCCGGGCTGGGCTCACCTGTCCTGCCTGCTGCTGACCCGATTTGCACCAAGCATTTCAGACCCTAAGCAGCATTAATGGCACTTCTCCCTTTCTCACGGCTGCATTGCCACCCCCTGATTAGTATTCACAGGCTGCTTTCCTTCCCTATTTCCAAAAATCATCCATAACTTTACACCACACATTTTTCTTATGAGTCACAGGGTGCAGGCACTTGCTATTTATACCACTGATTCTCCTCCTACTGCTTCATCCTTCATCCTACCATTTTCCACAGTGTCCTTCTCGACACTGCACCACGAGCAACTATCACTAGCAGCTCACCAAAGACGGAAGGTTTAAAGCTCCATCTCCTTCAGCAGCCAAATCCAGCCTGACAATTTGCACCTAAGTGCCAAGGTGACAACCAGAGAATCCRGATCCATTCCCAGCACCCATTAGGCTCTTCTGCTTCCGTAGGGTCTGATGGCGACTCGCACGGCTGAGCTTGCTAACCCATACATTGCAACAGCTAAATTTTAGGGGAAGACTGTCCAATTCAGCAGCTGTATTCAGGCTGAAAGGGCCACTCCACTGTAAATAAAGAACCTGCTTGAACAGATACACACATAGCGAATAACAAAACGAGTGACTTGTGTAACTTGGTGCAGTCTTTATGACTCTTCCCTACAGCATCCTATATGGCATAGGGCAAGTTTCACACGGATTGCTGAAATGCTAAACCAGGTGCAGGGCATCTTTTACTTGCACCCTGCCAGCCCTGCTTTCATTTTGCATTTTCAGTTCACTCTCTCTACCTCTAAGGAAGAGGTTTTGAGGCCACAAGCCTGTTAGGAAATTTYCTCGGAAAGCCAGTCCCCTTTTTCTCTCAAGGTCTGACTAGGGAGACACAGTCTTTACAGTCCTGCATCAGCGAGCATAAATTTAGTCCTACTCTGTGTACAGGCAAGTTCAATACGACCAGAGGGCAGCAGTGGCTCTGGTCTGACTCCAGCAATATTGGGGGGTTCTGCAACCCCACATCTCGCTATCTCATTGAAGTCAGCAGAAGCTTTGCGCTTTCAAAGTGAATAAAATAAAAAATAAAATAAAAAATAAAAAATAAAATAAAAAATAAAATAAAATAAAAAATAAAATAAAATAAAAAATAAAATAAAATAAAATAAAAAATAAAATAAAATAAAAAATAAAATAAAATAAAAAATAAAATAAAATAAAAAATAAAATAAAATAAAAAATAAAATAAAATAAAAAATAAAAAGTAAAATAAAAAGTAAAATAAAAAGTAAAATAAAAAGTAAAATAAAAAGTAAAATAAAAAGTAAAATAAAAAGTAAAATAAAAAGTAAAATAAAATAAAATAAAATAAAATAAAATAAAATAAAATAAAATAAAATAAAATAAAATAAAAT